CGTGCATTATTTCTGAATGACTGATTGTAGCTTCGAATCAGAATACTCCGAAATCGACTGACTGGAGCAATATGATAAAGTATTCTAACTGGTCGCTGGGAAAGTTGCAGTCGTGCAGGGGGGAAGGGTGCGTTGGTGCGAAATGGCAGGATATCGCGCTCAGGAAAAAAAGTTCACATTTCCATTGGTGAAATCTTCTGGCTCGCCAAAACCCGCCACAGTTAGCACCAGAAAGCGCGGAATTTCAGAGCCCGTGTCCACTTCAGTTCTGCGACACGTTTAGTTCACTCAAAGCTATCCAAACTACAGTCTTGTTCGCTGCGGATGATGCGGCGTGTTGAGAGGGATGGTTTTGGCGCGGTGCCAGCTCATTTCTTCCTCTTTCTTTCGGCTGACGATCAGACTAAACATATATCGTATTCGTTCTTATCACTCTGACGAAGCGGACCGAGCAGAGCGCGCCAACCGCCAGCCCCGACTGACTGCTACGCCCCGCATCCGCTGCGAACAAAGACCGTATTTAAGATGGTAAAGTAAGGTAAACGTTTTTCTTCCCGTACATCTGACTGTGAGCTGTAAGTTATTGGAAACTGGAAAAGTACAATACCTTTGAACCAATAGTTTTTCAGCTGGTTTTAATTGCCCAGAGTACATAAAAAAAGAAACGTGGCAACTCAATTCCGATTTCACGTCAATTTTCTTCTTCTTTAGATGGAGTTTCATAGCCACTCATATCTCACACATTCCACTTTTTCATACGTGATAAGTGGCTCTTTCACAGAAAAAGCCCTTCCCTTGAACGAGCTCATCACCTGGCTTGAAACATGTTTTGCTCCTTTACATGCTTTGGTTGCCGCTTTACTCTAGCTATCCGCACGCTGGGTTTTGTGACAGGACGTCTACACCACGGAAAAGTTCAGGTAGTCACGTAGTAACTGGCAACAACGCTTTTCTTTAGACAGTTCAATAAACCTGTAACTAAGTGATATAAGAATAAAAAGATGAAGTTTCTGCGGTATATCAATTCTTTTATCGGCTACGAATTTGACTTCGTTTCAGAATCGTAGTGTCTCATTGAATGCGGCTTACAATGACTTGCAGGAACCAGCCGATGCGCAAGTCAGCATCTATACAGCTAGACAGCTTGTATCAATTTCCCGTCCACGGAGGGTAGGAGGCTTAGTTGGCCAGAGGGAGAGCCCACCCGGAATTTCACGACCGGGAGGTGCATGCCGTTCACCAGTACACCACCTCTGCCATAGAGCATACCTCTACGAAAAGCAGGTAAAGGGGAGGGGATTATGTCTAAACTTTCTGGAGTGTACTACGTGTCTTACGTTTATTCAGAACGGAATCTGAAATAAAGTCAACCTAGCGGTCCCATGTCTAGTTAGTGTTCCATTTTTTTTACCAAACGAACTTTGCAGCAATCAACCGACTACGGAGGAGGGACGGGCGACAGACTTGGTATTAGCGGACCCATCTATTTGGATGACGTCACCGATGGCGTTTCTCGCATTAATGAACCATCTCCATCTCAGGATTTTGACTGGTTGCTCCACAACTGTACGCTCAACCGCCATGTGCAGCCAACAACAAACTCTCCGGGACTATGAGTTCATCCAAAATATGGCTGCACTCTACCAAGACCGAAACACGCTTCCGTCTTGCTTTTTCAGGTTTGAAAGCGATGTGCAACTGAAACTCGTATCCTGAATAGATATTTTCGGTAAGTTGAAATAATTGAAAGCTGCCATTCGAAAACTAAATATTCCCTGGCCGTGAGAAAAGAAAACTCTATCAATTATATTAGGTTGGCGGGAATGGTCTGTCATTTTTTTGAACTCAATACTTGCCCATTACCTGAAGAAGGGTAACCGGTAATGTGAGCAGTATCACCTGTATCACCTGTGCTCCCGTTGATCATCGAGTTCCTCGAGCGGGCGCCAGTAACGTCTCCATTCGTCCCTGCAACGTGCAAGAGTTGCCCAATGAACTCTCTCAGCTCGAGGGACACGATGAACTTCATACCGTTCGTTCAGAGCTTTCACGAAGAAGTCTGACCATCGCATAGGCGGTCGTCCAGGCGTTCGCTTGACATCCCGTGGAATCCAGTCGGTGATCGCTCTGGTCCAGCGGTCGTCCTCGAAACGCATGACGTGCCCGGCCCACCTGATCTTCGAAACCTTGGCAAATGCGGCGGCGTCTCTGATCTTCGATCTCGAGACTGAGATGCGGAGCCTGCCAGATTCTTTCTCACTTGCGTGTAGCGGCAAACTCCGAGCATCGCCTTTCGATGGCGCGTTGAATAACGCCGACCGCATGCTCATCCTGCTTTCGTAGAGTCAAGTCTCTGAAGCATAAGCAAGGCAAGGACTGCGCGAGTCAAAACAGCGGTGGCACGGAGCTTGGTTCTTCGTCTTCTTCGCTACTCCCTCGATGTTGAAGGCTCCCCAAGCCGCTCGCTTCCTCCTGCTCAGCTCTGGAGCTAAGTCATTCATCATATTGATTTCACGACCTAGGTACACATAGCTAGAGCATTCAGAGATGGTCGTTCCGTTGAGCGTGAATGGGGCATTAGAAGTGAGCAGTTATACATCTAAGAATGGTCTTTCTATTAGTACCACTCGCTTGACTCCTGCTTCTTCTTCTGCAATATGGACAAGGATGTTATCCGCTACCATCGGCACCGACCCCTCCAAGCGCTTCCTCAAACTCTTTCTTCCACCACCCTGACGCCAGCATGACAGCTGCCGATGCCAAAATAATGGAGCGCTAATGCTCTAAAGCAGCTTACAGTTTTATGACGAAGTGAGTGAGGTTTGGGTATACATGTGAACTCAGCTTGAGGGAGCTGCGGGTCGTGAAAATGCTGGATGAAGAAGCTGCTTCCTCGGTCAATCCGCAAAGCAGCTACGAGATCTAAAGCGTACCGTCGATCAGAGGGAAAAATTTGTCCGCACAGTCCGCCCTCATCATAATAGTGCAGCGCGCTTCGTTCAAACAGGTAAAGCCGAACCTCATGCGATAGTACTGGATGGCTCTCCCCTTGCACCGGTGTAACCCAGACTCCTTCTAACTACTAGTTGTCTCAATACTGTTGTACTTAACCGTTATATGGACGAGTAAAACCTCCACGACCCGAGCCCAAGTCGAAATTGAGATGATGTCCAACTTTGCGTCGCGCTGGCCTGCATTGTGAAGCGATGGCATCCATGAGGTGCTCAAAAACTGGCAAGAACCCCGCAATAACATTGCTGTATAATTTTGATCTTGTACGCCTCTCTATAAAAGAAAGCCTAATTCGAAAAAAAACATGACAGATCTTTCCACCAATCTAATATAAAGAATGGAACTCAAAAATTTTAAAGCGTAAGTCACAGAAATTCCGAGCTATTCCCGCAGGAAAACCGAATTAAGTTGCAAAGCTGCAATCATGACCGATAACTAGAACAAATTTTATGCAATTTTCGACGGATCACATAGTAACGGAAACCTTTCCACTATGACAGGGTTATTTATGGCGTTGTGCAAGATCTTGAGCACGGTATGTGTTCTCGTAAGCTGTTTACTAGTATTAGATGAACGCACAATATGAATACGCAGCCCGTTCTAAATGCTGAGTTTTTATGGAAAAATACGACTTCACATTCTATACACGGCACAAGAAACCATGTACTAGTGGAGAGACAGGTCGCTCCCTTAATACAGACTCAATGTCGCTGATGAAAAGATGAACACTAAACTGTCAGGAACGTGACGCTAATATTTGGCTGCCGGTTCAGTGCCTCCATAGTTTCCGATAAGAGCAAAGTTTGTAGCACATCAAAAGAAAGCTATATGACGCTAAGCGCTTGTTCGAGACTCAGCCTGCAATATTAGCTGTGGATGTTCATGATGGGATACTAGCAGGGATAGGAAATACAATAGTGTACGCTCACCGTTCTCTGGGGGAGAGGAAGGGAAGTTACCAGTCTCTATCAAGACAAACCTGTGCCCTGCAAAATCGGTCGAGGGGGAACGAAATTTCAAAAAAAGTGATACGTAGCTATGCACAATAATACCCCGCCGTACGCCTTTTCTGACTATGAATCACAACAGAAACTGACTTCTAAACTGGGTTTAAGGCTAGTCCAGCGATCGGGAGCTTGCGACTCTCCAGTATAAATCCACGCAGTGATGGGGTATCAATGTTAGACATGTGCACTATGGTAATCTAGCGTTTTCGTGCGGCAGCTTTGGTAGAATACTTACCCAGTTTGGCCCAACGTTTCAACTGAATCGCCGTGGTCAGAAGCCTGAACAACTACGATCTACCCACGAAGCTCCTCGTTGGCCCAAGCGGTTTGTGTTATGCACCCTGATTTAGAGGCTGGATACCGTAAGGGAAGCTCAAAGACATTAGCTACCGTTGAAGCTAAATGTGCGCTACGAGCGAAGCGTCAGTTAGTCGTAATGTATGATTACTGCACGTCTTAGTTTGAGACGATCATAGCTCTGTCGTTCAACAGCTCCGCTCTGGTCATTCAAAACAGCAGTAATGTCATTGCTAGGGAGACACCATCTTGTGTTGCTGTAAAAGTCAGCCTTGGTCAGCAGGGTGAACTTTCCATCCCAATCTAACCCACTACTCACCAGCATTAATTTTTTGAGAGCTGCTGTGGGAATATCGCGTTTCATGCCAGCCCTGAAACAAAGCGGAGGTGCATATCCCTTGAGCATAAGAAAAGCGGAGCGTTCTTACCGGCCATAACCGTCCTGTGGTGCATGCAAGATCTCAACAAATTCGAGAGTTACTGCTGTCATAACACCGCTTGTGCGATTGACAGTTAGCAATTTTGATTTCAATATTTGTGAACACAATTTCAGACAATCAAAGTTCCATGGCAGTTTCACGAACTTCTCTTGTAAGACACTTCCAACTAACATACTGTGGTTACAAGTAGAGAGAAATTGGAGAATGCTCTGAGAGAGGTTTCGCTTTTTCGACGACTTTTTACCAGAACAAATCTACGCTGCCCTTTTCCAACTATGGATTGCACTTTTGTGGTTTTGTGCCGCTTCCCTTCCAATTCCTGCGCAGCCGAATCATCGTCAATAGACAGTTGTGGGAAGTCAGGAGTTCTACTTTCCGGTTCATCGAGCAAGCTGAAAAGCCGCAGTATGGGCAATTAGCTATGCCAATGTCCCCCAGCAAAGCTTTTCTGGACAAGTCATGGAGAAATGTTCCTCAGAAAAGCTCGTGGATGATTAGGTGACGACAGAAAGTCTTTTTTTGCTGGACAGCAGCAGTAAGAAGGCAGCTGAACGCGTCAAAAGTGCCAAAGCACTTTGCACAGCAAGACATCTCAAATCGTGCGCTTTAGTGGGTTTTTGAAGAGGTGACAGAAAACTGTTCCGATGAAGAGGTGAGGTATTTCTTCTGAGCAGCAGCCTCCTTGCATCATCCATCTTGAATAGAACCTGTGCTCGACCCAAGTTTAGCGAAATTGAATTGAGTTTTGATTTCTCGGAATGGAAAATGTTGCACAGCCCATGCTCACTCTCAACCATGGACCACCTGGTTGAAGATTCACTAAGGGTCCATTTAAAGGACTCCTTGGACAAGACTGACATCATTGCCAACGCTGCGGAGGAAAGCCCTCTCTCGCAGGATTTGATTCAGCAACCCTGCTGCTCCTTCCCCTAGGCTCGATTGTATGATTCTCGAGTTTTCCCGTTAAATGCGCATTGGTACCCTCCTCCTGGTTGGCGACGTGGCGAAACTACACTTCCTGGTATGCGAAAGCGGGGGGGGGCTTTCTGCACCCTCCCACACCACGAGGCAAAAACATGGGAGAATGTGAAAAGCTCATGGTACACATGTACCGATACTTTCTTTATTCTGGAGCTCAAAGACCTACCCCTCAGATGAGCCCGATTTCCGATGCTCCCCTTCCCTAGCAGTCTTGCGCCAGACATTGTTTTCCGTTTTGACACTTCTGCCAAGAGAACTTTTAGTCCAAGGGATTTTCCCTGTCACACTTTCGGAAATTAATAAAAGCCCTTGAGTGCCCTTCAGAAGCGAGTCAGTCCACTAATGAACAACAAGAGTCGTCGACGTGACTTTGCAGGTGCTACGGCGACGACAAAACCACGCTCCAGAAGCCCTAGAAATGCGATTCCCTATGCTGGTGATAGTCAACACATATGCTAAGAAACCAGCTTCTGGAGTTTTACTATCGAACTTCACCTTCATGCGAATTTGGGAACCTTCCCGTGATCCAACACTCAAATGGAGGGTGGCTAACGGACAAATTAGTCCTGACAGCAGGTAATGAGCAAATTGACAAGCCGTCACTTCAGAGTGTGTTGGCGAGAATTACCCAGCAACTTGCCCCTCACTAGAGCGACAAAATGAAGTGGAAAAGCGGGAAGAAAAAACGAAATCTACGATCAAAAACGGACCTCGTTTTCGTATACGGGTAGGCATTCCAGGCTTCTTCGTGTGCTTCGAGAGCGCTCGTCGGCAGAACACTTCGAATCCATACTGAAAAATCAACTGTCAAGTCCAATTTTTGAAAAGAGCTGAGAGCGCTGCGGCATCCAGCGTAAAGTCTGTCATGAGGGGGCCGTGAAGATAATATAGCTACTAGAAAATCCCAAAGGGATGCTACAATGTTCTCAAAATTTCGCCTACACTAAATGCCATCTTAAAAGCACGGTTCCGATTTTGGAAGCCAAGTAAGTATGTTGATATATGGAAGAGAAGGTCCGGGACTCGTTTGAGAAAAAAAATGCAAAAGAGAAGGTTGGAAACGTCTCTCATAAGACCCCGGCTTTACGAGATGTGAAGAATCAGCTACTTGGACCTCCTCCTTCGCATAACTGATCCGGAAACGGACCCCATGACCCAACAACAAGCGACAATATTGCCTCTGTCTCATGCCAGGGTGGCGTGGTTTTTTGAGAGGCGAACTTTGGAGGCGCAGTGCGGAGGCGGAGCCACCAGCAAAGAGGAGGCGTCACTGGAGCAGCATTGTGCCCCAGCTCCTTTACCTTAAACTTCGCCGTGAAACTGTACAGGGTTATTCGCTGCTGCCCACGCTACCTTTCCCAAGCAATCTGTTACACTTTCGTGGGTCAGCGCGGACCGTGCCTTTAAGCATTTACTGAAAGCTTCGCGGCGACATTCCATGTACCCCACCTCTTTGAATCCTCTTCTTTCACTTTACAACACCTTTTGAGAAAGATGGTAACTAATACTCGGAGAAAATTCTAATATTTCACGTTATCTCAGCTCCTCTGCTTCAAGCAGTGCTCAAATATTGGGTTGGCACATAAGTACTTTCGTTTTTTTTCAACCGGAAATTTCGTTCCAAAGATGAAATGTTTTGCTAGCAAGCTTGATATCATCTGATAGGAAACTTCACGTAGTTTTAGAATATCAAAACGGCTTCGGTTGAGGGAATAATTTTTGTGGATTTTTTAGTCGTTGAAGTTGAAAGCGAAGTCGGCGAAAATTAGCACCTTCGACAACTGCCTCTATTTACGTATAGTCGAAGTGCTAAAATCGCTTAAGCTGCTCCATACATTTGGAAAAGGTCGAGCTAGAAGTTCCAGCAAGGGAATCTCACTAGGACGCTTTGGAACGAATTTCAAGAATTTTGAAGTTACCAACCTTCACCTCGCCGATATTGGGCAGCTCACGTCTGTTCCACCTGAAATTTTATGCTAATAGTTTGAATGTCTCGGTGGTATGTTTTGCATGTTCTGATAGCAAATTTCGTGCTCTATAACACTGCTATAAAATCTGTTCTCCAGAGGTGTTTGCTTTCTGTTAAGTTCAGGTTATCATTACGGAACGCGAAGTCGTTGAGAACTAGCGTTCCCGTTCTCCACGAAATTTTATGCTAACATTTGAATGTTTCGCTAATGTGTTCTATATGTTCTGATAGCCAATTTCGTGCTCTATAACATAACATAAAAATCAGTTTTCCGGAGCTGTTTACTTTCTGTTAAGTTCAGGTTATCTTTACGGAACGTGAGGTCGATGAGAATTAGAGTTCCCGACTTCCTCTCTCAACCGCTGTCCACTGAAGCTTCAAAGCTCCTAGAGCAGCTCAATAGAATCGCCATGGTTTGAGTAAGGCTTAGAGTAACAGATTAGTGTTAGGACAGCTCTTAGCGAATTTCCCGAGCAGCATCAGCAGCTCTGATACCTCTGTTGAATGCGAAAAGGAGGAGATGTCTGAAGTGCTGATGCTTATCGACCTGACATTCCATATTATCCACCTGAAAAACAAGGTTCATCAAACGGATTTTCAAAATAACTGCAACGCAGTGTTATAGAGCACGAAATTGGCTATCAGAACATATAGAACACATTAGCGAAACATTCAAATGTTAGCATAAAATTCGTGGAGAACGGGAACGCTAGTTCTCAACGACTTCGCGTTCCGTAATGATAACCTGAACTTAACAGAAAGCAAACACCTCTGGAGAACAGATTTCTATAGCAGTGTTATAGAGCACGAAATTTGCTATCAGAACATGCAAAACATACCACCGAGACATTCAACTTTTAACATAAAATTTCAGGTGGAACAGACGTGAGCTGCCCAATATCGGCGAGGTGAAGGTTGGTAACTTCAAAATTCTTGAAATTCGTTCCAAAGCGTCCTAGTGAGATTCCCTTGCTGGAACTTCTAGCTCGACCTTTTCCAAATGTATGGAGCAGCTTAAGCGATTTTAGCACTTCGACTATACGTAAATAGAGGCAGTTGTCGAAGGTGCTAATTTTCGCCGACTTCGCTTTCAACTTCAACGACTAAAAATCCACAAAAATTATTCCCTCAACCGAAGCCGTTTTGATATTCTGAAAACTACGTGAAGTTTCCTATCAGATGATATCAAGCTTGCTAGCAAAACATTTCATCTTTGGAACGAAATTTCCGGTTGAAAAAAAACGAAAGTACTTATGTGCCAACCCAATATTTCCCTACTCCACGTCATGCCAAGGCAGCTGGCAAATAGGAGATATTACGTTGGGAGTTCCGTTAATGGGAGGCTATTTCTATTTGTAATTTTATTTGTATCCGGTCATCGTTAGTTAGGACGGACTCGCTTCAAAGGATAAGGGGCAGGGTGCACTGGCGATGAATATTGTTCATCCCTAACTTTTTAGCATTTCAGAATATCCTACGAAACAGATGTCGCAAGGCGGTTTTATTCTGAAAAACGTTTGCCATCAGAACGAATTGCCCTGAAAATTCGTCCTCTCTCAAAATAGTCTATTTATTGCTGTGTGCCCTAAATGAAACTAAACAAAAACTGAAAATATTTAATTTCAGCAGCAAATTTAATTTCGCAGAAATGCAGCTCTATGTCGGCATGTATTTTCTGTCAATCGTTCGTCTTCAGAGTTCAAGATTGTTTTGCTCTGTACAGAACCTATCTACTTCCAAGCGCGATTTCTGGTGGCACGAACCAATTTTTCTTTCTCATCGAGTCAATGGAAAGTCTTTCTCTCATAACGTGACAGGATGAACCGTTAATCCGAAGAAGCCATTCATAGCTTCTCAAGTGACTAAGATTAGAAGCCTCTCAAAGTCATGGTAATGACGGAATCAATCTACTGCAAATAAGAGAACGAAAAATCATAAAAGGTAAACATATGTATATATAAGTCAATTACTCAAATAAAACCGTGTGACATGACCCGTAGCGATTTATTATGTAGGATATCTAAAAATGTGCGAGAGGGTCCAGCTGCAAGTTTCCCCTCCCCCAACTTCAACAAAGTTGAACTTGTGAGGGGAGGGGCACATGACGGTGCGACGGCACCATTTCAAGTCGTATTACTTCATGTATATTCGTCTGCGCACTCTTGTCGATATGGCGTTCGAGCTGTTCATGCCGGTGAGCTCTCCCGATGTAATTTCACATGCAGAGCTGGACTGTAACCTTTCTCTGCTGCGGTAGGGCCTGGAACAGTATCCTAACTCAATCAGGGCACGTGATGCTGCTGGGGAATATTTTTGGAGAACACGCCCCCCCATCCCTGTAATACGACCCCTCTTCCCCATCCTACCTACCACTTTCCTAGATGTTTCAACCCTCCTAAGCAGTTTTATAGAATTTCCCGAAGTTTCTTTTCTCGCAAATTTTGCATGTCGAGCGCCCAGAGGGGTCTAATCACCACTGCTACTTCAAAGTTTCAAATTCGACCCCCTCCCCCACTTTCCCAACCAGTTTCAAGTACCAGAAATAGTAAATGTATAGAGCATTCGCGGCGCCTCCAACTAAGGGGAGGGAATTTCTCCAGCCAGCAAAATTTCGTCAAAGGCAATGGCGACCCCCCATCCTCTTCCCAACAAATAGCAAATACAACTCGCCGCCCTGGGATTCCCCAACGTACGGTCGCTACTGTGGTCTGAACTCAATTGTCTGTCTTATTAACTTTTGAGACCGAAATTCAAAAGTTATAGGAATCAATGAAGAAACATCGATCCAAAACCGTTAGTTTCCCCCACCCCCACTTTTCAACTTTACTTGTTTAGGCCTCCGTTCCGTCTCCACAAAGGTAAACTCAATTCACCGCTATACTGTATTAGCACATGAGGGGTAAGATTTGCCCATGAACTCGAGTTTCAGATTGTAGTCATAGCTGTTGACAAAACCACTTCAGTAGATTTTGTTAACTCTAAGCAGTGAACTTTTCAACGAGGTCAAATGCGACACACAGCATTTCAGTGGATGCTCGTTAATTGAAGTGGCAGCTGTTCGTTTGCTGCACGCTTTTTCCAGTGCCGAAGTCGTTGAAGGCAATAAAATATAGCGCCATTAATTTCAAATCAACTGAATCCTTTCGCTGTAAAAATTATCGCTCAACATTCTCAATTTCATAGCAGGAATAGTCACCATAGACTTCGATCAGCCGAGTTTACCTTTGCAAAAAAAACCTGGTAAAGAAAAGAATGCAGAAGCTGCAGTGCGAAAGTGATAGTATAACGCTTTCAGCTGAGTGAACGCTTTTTGGGATGTGCCACGCATTCTATTCCACTTGGCATCGTAATGACGCTTTGAATGCGATTATCCTATTGGAGCGAATTCTTCATCCGTCAGTATTTCTCTTCTGTCGGAGAGCTCTGGTACATTGCCGATCACGGAAGAATGGAAGGCCTTTTCGTCGGGGCGAGTGTACAGGGCGGGGGGGGGGCAAAAAAAGACTTTTTTCTTCCTCGACTTTCGAGGCGCTATAAGTTACACTAAGGTATTAAATTCTTATCGGACATTTCTATTACCATATAAAGAGCATATTAAATACTATCATGATACTCCGCCACAGCCTTCCTTGAATGGGAAAAAAAGGAAAGGGGGAGAAAGATGGAGGAGCGCCATCGAGAGATTCTGCCACGCGACCGTCAGTGGGTGCGTGAGTTCAGCGAGATCGTTGATTTCTCCGCCACTGTAGACCACCCTATTGAACTCCGCCCGAACCAGGTAATTGAGGGGTAGGTCAGGTTACCTGTTTAGATATTCCACCTTCTTCAGGTACTCAACGCCCTTCCATTCCAAGGAGGCGAGAGTTTTCCCAACGCCCTTTGATTCCATGTGGTGTCACCCAATCCTGTAGCAGTACAAAGTTTCCAAGAAGGTACGGGCGACGACATGTGGAGAGGATATTCTTCTCGAGTTGCTCGATGTAACCGCCAGCGCTCACCTTTAGTCCGGGGCCCACGAAGAAAATATCGGTCTCTCCATTCCAGGTACGTCCGGTCCCCACCATCAACTGGCGCCTTGGCGACTGAGGTGAAGATGATGTCCTAGACCGTAGCGACGTTGACGGAGCTGCTCGATGATGGAGGTCTTCCAGATCGAGAGTACTGGTCTCCAGGTAGCTATCCATGGGTGACTCCATACTAGAAGTTTCGCAGCTGTTTGGAGGTGACATGAATTCCAAAGGTCTTCTCCAGTCAGGTTGCGGCTGGAGATGACTTCATATTTTGGTGTACATGAAGGTGATGGGCGAGCGCCAGCTCCTGCTTATAGAGGAACATCTTGGGTATCTTCCGCCCTGGTACTCGTATCCACGTCCTCTGTCTGGGCTGCGAAAACTTTGCTGATATGTGACTCGGTCGAAATGTCTTTTTTTTGCCCCCCCCCCCCACCCCTGTGGATTGGAGATCTGAACCCCGGCTTGTAACCAGGGTAAGTAGGTAAGGTAAGGGGGCCTACTGCAATACACTACTTTCGCGAAAGTAAAAAAGGTACAAAAATCAGTTGTTTAACTTTAAAACTCTTGAATCATTGGTTTGCGTCTTTCTTACACAGTCTCATCCGCTTCAACCTTTCTCTCTTCGGCAAGTTCCTGAATTGAAGCAGGCGTCGCTTGAATGAATACAGATCAAATGCGCAGGTCCTATTGTTCAATTGGCGTCGGTTCAGTGGAGCGAAACACTAGCTGCACATCCTTCATGGCCCAAATTGGTATCTGAGAGCTTGACTGCCGAATTTCCGGTCAACTTCTCACACCAAACCAGTGCTTATGGTGCGAGCTTCTCTATCGCTTCGTATCGGGACACGATATGGCAACGAGGGTGGTTTTCCCCCACAGCCTCCCTCGGATCGTCGGAAGTGACATTTTCCACAGTGAAATATAATAGTTGTTCCACGTCAACAGTCTTCCCTCACATTCCCGAGTTAAGAAGGAAAACCCTGCACTCTGTTCATTTTGGGCCATATTTCTTCGAAAATTCAAAACTCCGGCTGAATTCATGAAAATCAAAAAACCGTATTCCGGAGACAGAGGTCACTGAAATGAGGAAAATTCTTGCTCAATATCCCTGTCCCCTATTTGTTCTCAAAAGCAGAGCGGCA